TAGGGTTTAAGGTTTCGGGCTTAGGGCTTAGGGCTTAGGGCTTAGGGCTTTGGGCTTAGGGTTAAGGGTTTCGGGTCTAGGGGAGAGCCAGGGCGTACCATACTGACAAGTTCAGTTTCAGGGTTAAGGGCTCAGAGACACTGAAAGCCTACTCTTTCACCATCATGACCGACAAGGATCCCAACTCTATGCAAGCAAGGAACAAGGAGGAATGACCGCCGCCTTATGGCTGGAGGCAACAGGCGTTGAATTTGGGTTTGTAGTTCACGGGGCATGGTAGTAGCAGCCCTCGTCGTCGTCGTCGTAGCAGGAGTAGCAGCGGCAGCTTCTTGGCAGCAGCAGTAGTAGTAGCAGCAACGAGCGCTAGCACTCGTAAGAGTCGCAGTTAATCTAGCACATTATATTATGGTATATCATAGTATATCCTGGTACATTGTCGTATATCGGGAGAAAGTCTGACCAGGGTGTTTGGATTGCCCCTGGCGCCCGATGATAGCACCCCTCCACAGATGCTGTCGGGCTGCGCTGACCAACCGCTGCTGCTTCAAATACCTCAGTTTCTGATCTCTGTGATCTCCGAACATGCGGTTCCAAAACGTGAAAACTGGAAAGCGCGACCCGAAACGCAAAAGGGTACCTGCGCAGAGAGCAAGGAACTTTCCTGCCTCCGCCATTGCTTTTTGCCACAATGTTTGCTCACTGAAAACCTGGCATCTGCATTTTTCAACATGATGTGGTTCACTTTCAGAATGCTCTGTTGAGGTGCAGGGTGTGGGGCTTATTTTGGAATCACAACAGCCGAAGACCCGGAAGCTCTTCGCTACATCGGGGGAAGGGAGTCCCTGTTCCACAAGTGCCCTCTTCGGGGTCTTCGCCATCGATTTTCTTTTTCGGTTCCTGGGTTGCCGCAAAGGGAAAATGTGGCTGAAGGCTGCGCTGAGCAGCGAGGAACCCGAGATTGCCCCCTTTGCCACTGATCCGCACCGTGTATTTCGGCAGGTTCGGGGGCGTCTCGGGCTCCGGTGGCTCTGTGGTGACGGCCCTCCGGCGCCGCGGTGAAAAGAAGCGGCTCCCCGTCTGCAGCATCGAAGCCTCGCCCGTGCTGCACGTGTCGGCCTCGGACATCGCCGGCAGCCATAGCAGCAAAAGAGCTGCCAAAGAAGAAGCCGGCATCCCGCGGCGGAAAAGAGCCGTCTACCGTCTTTGCCTCTGACAGCCAGAACACCAAGCACAAGCTGTGAACCGACCACAAGAACGGTGGCTCTCCTGACAGCAGCATCTACCAAGTCCATCTCTGTCCTGGAAGCCTAGCAAAACCAATGCCTCACTGCTTTAAGGGAGGGCGGGTGGCGGCTCCTTTGGCTCCATATATATATATATATATGTATGTATATATGTATGTATACATTTGTATACACACATGTTTCACTGGCTGACACCTGGAAATCATTGCTATCAGTAGTCTGGTCGGGCCCCTGCCCCTCGCCGACTGTCCACGATGACGGCACGCACGGCTGCAGCTAAATTGATACGGCATTTTGACAAGTTTGATCAGTAATGCTAACCCTGACACTCAGCTAATGTAGGGCCTTGATGATTAGAATAGGGTTTTGGGGCCCGTTATACTATAACTATAGCATGGAACCCCAAAATAGTATTGGTAGTTATCTAGGCTCCTACAGTAAACTTGAAAGAAATATTGGGAAATGCCATGGGCATCTGGTTGGGACATGAGAAAATCCAGATCCAATACGCCACACTGCCACGGTTGCTTGGACTTGACGCAGAACTAAACTCGAACCCAAACGAAACGTATAGTGTGACGCGGCACCGCTGGCAGTTCTGTAACAGAAACTTCCAGCAGGTTCAGCGGTTCTGATTTACTGCGCAGTGGTTAAAGGGTATAAGGTTTAGGGCATGTGTTGTAGGAGTTGTAGGAGAAAAACTGAGACCCGGTGACAAAAGCAGTTTTGTCGTTCTTCTGGTAGGAAAAATCGAGCACGCCTCGAGCTTGCGCAGGGGCGCTTGCGAAAATTGCTAGACCTGCTTGCCCTCATCTTTCGCTCTCACGTCTCGCACCTTGGCCCAGCGCAACAAGATGCAATCTGGCAGCCGGTGCGGACGACCATGTCCTCATCCTACGCACCATTGTAAAATGTTATCGACTTATCCCCTTCAGACTACTATCAACTCTATGGTTACCATTAACTACTAGTATCTCGGCGCATCAACAATGTGTAGTGGTGATCATAAAACCATAAGGAGCATCCCTTAAACCCTAAGCCCTAAACCGTGTATCATTCCTTCATACTGATACATCATACTATATTTTTGTATGTGCATATATATATATATATGTAGGATAATTCTTGAGCCGCCTCCACTTGCTCGCCAAGTCGCTCTCGGCAGCTTCCTCCTGCACGTCATGCTGGGGGTCTCTGAAGGAGAACTTCTTTAAGAGATGTCTCTAGGGGATTCCAAAAAGGTTTCTTGAAGGTTCTTGAAGGGTTCCTTAAGGATTCTTGAAAGGGGTCGATAAGTGTACCTACAAGGGGTTTAGACCTAAAGCCCTTTGAACCCTAAACTCTAAATCCCAAGCCCGAAACCCTAAAAAGCCCAAACCCCCCTTAAACCAAAAATAGCCTAAAACCCTGAATAGCTCGGGCTTGGCGCTTTGGATTCTGGGGTTCGGGGTTGAGGGCTTGACGGCTGAAGGGCTTTAGGATTTGTAGGGTTTTAGGGTTTAGGGTTTAGGGTTTAGGGGCTCTAAGACCCGCAACCCCAACCCAAGAACCACGAAGAATCCCCCCCCCCAAAAAAAAAAAAAAAGGTGCCGGCCGCCTGGATGGCCTTCTCGTACTCTTCAGGAGCTGGCACCAGACGCAAGGGAATCCAACCTAACTCTGCCGGTCCGTGCATTTCGACTTCAAAGGGATTGGGATGTGAGGGTTTCAAGCTTGAGGGTGTAGCTAAACCCTAAACCCTAAACCCCAAAACCCTAAAACCTTTAGGCAAGGACTTAGGCCTTAGGCCTTTGGCTCCTCTCATGGGGCCCCGGGTGCAAGAGGGAAAGCAAGGCGAAACAACCCAAAAGCCCTCAACTCGGAAGTTACGTCCCAAAGCCGAGAGCCTGAATGTCGGGTTTAGGCTATTTAAGGTTTTTTCTTGAAGCTTAGGATTTAGGGTTTAGGGTTCAGGGTTTAGGGTTTAGGGTTCTGGACTTCGGGTTTAGGGTTTGGGGTTTAGGGTTCAGGGTTCAGGGTTTAGGGTTCAGGGTTCAGGGTTTAGGGTTCAGGGTTTAGGGTTTATAGGATTACATCTGAGTTCCTAAACCCGATAGTGTAGAGCCCCCCAAAAGCCCGACGCGAACGCCGAAAACCGAAAGAAGAAGACTGGATATCCCAAAACACGTAGTTCTATAGCAACCCCAAAAAGGACCCCCGATATTCGTTCTGCCACAATCCCAACAAAGGACGCATATACCAGTCTCATAAAACACAAAAAACAGCCCCCAAGGCATCGAGGTTCGGGCACTCGAACTCAGCTTCACCTGGCCTCGTCAAGGATAGGGTTCAGGGTTCAGGGGTTGGGATGAGGGGTGGGGGTGGTGAATGAAAGTCTTTCGGGTTTCATGATTTGGGTTTAGGGTCTAGGGCTTACGTTTTAGGGTTTAAGCCAGCTTAGGGTTCGCCGTCTTGGTCTTTAGAGAAAAACCCATTTGGGGACTCGGGGCGCCATAAGTGTAACCCTAAACAGCCTTTCGGAACCTGCACTCATAAAGCCTTTGAGCCAGGAACCACTCCTTCCTAGAATATGCCCATGACTCGAACCCCTAGGCTGGCTAAACCCTCAACACCCTAAACCCTAAACCCTAAACCCTAAACCCTAAACCCTAAACCCTAAACCCTAAACCCCCCAAAACGGCTCAAAGCTCACATGTCTCATGACCCTGAAGCTCCCCCAGCCCAGGGCCTCACCCCGCCCTCATCAGATTTGCGCCACCTCAGCTGAACGTGCACGTTCGGAATACCTGATATGGGGGTTTCCCAAAATAGGGACCCTAATATAGCACCCTAAATAATAGGATCTTTACTATAAGGACCCCAAAATAAGGTGCCCCTAATTTTCTGAAACTCCCATATCTATCACTAGTCGTACAAACGGCTCATACAGTCTCCTATGCTTTTGGTGTGGCCGCCGCTGCTGTTCCTGTTAGCAAATCACGACTGTGCCAATTGCAGGAGTTAGGTGTTCTTCCCACGACGGTTGTGATGGTGGCGATGCTTCAAACCGCGCGGACTCTGCTAGCCATACTCCTGGGAAAAATCTTCGCGGTCACAACAAGCCAACGCAAAACACACTCCAACTAAACCCTAAACTCTAAACCCCAAACCCTAAACCCCAAGTCCAGAGCCCTAAACCCGAAACCTGAACCAAACTGGCACAAACTGGTCCTAATCCTCCCTCTAAACCCTAAACCCTATAAACCCTAAACTCCCGAACACAAACGATCCCTTCGTTCTTTGGCCGTGGACAGGCTGAGTCCGATACACGGAAGGGACCAGGCCAGGCACGTTCCTAAGCTGAGCCGAAACGATTCTAGGGTTTGGGGTTTTGGGTTTGAATGGTTTAGGGTTTTGGATTTTAGGGTTTAGGGTTTGGATTTTAGGGTTTAGGGTTTAGTGGTTTAAGGTTTTGGGTTTTAGGGTTTGGGGTTTAGGGGTTTAGGGTTTTGGATTTTAGGGTTTAGGGTTTAGTGGTGTAGGGCTTTGGATTTTAGGGTTTGGGGTTTAGGATTCTGGGCTGAGTGTTCAGGGCTTTCGGATGTTCGGGCTTTAGGCTTAGGGTTGTGGGCTCCAGGGGTTCTTAAGGTAGGGTGGCTATATGGAGGTTTCCGAAAATAGGGGACCCTAATACAGTGCCCTAAATAGTAGGATCCTTATTATAAGGACCCCAAAATAAGGTACCCCTTGTTTTCGGAAACTCCTATATGGCGTGGGGCATCGGATTAAGGGATCTCCGCATTGCCATCCCAGGCGCAGTGGGAGGACGTAGACTTCACCGGTCGCGGGATCCTTGTAGAAGCACCTCATGCGTACGCAAAATGGGGTTCAGGGTTTAGGGTTTAGGGTTTAGGGCTTTAGGGGTTGAGGTTTAGGGTTTAGGGTTTAGGGTTTAGGGTTTAGGGTTTAGGGTTTAGGGTTTAGGGTGACTCCTAGGCCACGATGGTTTCTGGGCTACTGCGCCACTCTGGCCCGGCTATGGGGCTAGGATGGCTCCTGCTGAGGGCAAAAGGGTCCTAAACCCGAAACCTGAGCTCTAGCACCTGAACATATCGGGGGACCCAAAGAAAGCTTGTTACAAAACCCTGCACCCTAAACCTGACCACCCCTAAGCCCTAAACCCTAAACCCCTAAACACTAAACCCTAAACCCTAAATCCTGCAGCCCCAAACCGGCTGCAACCCTAAACCTGAAGCATCAAACCCAAATTCTACAACCTCAAACTGCTAGGCCGTTCTACCAGTTATCCGAAAGCTTTAGAAAACCCTATAAAAACCCCAAACCATAAACCTCCAGAGATCTGAAAACCACTCCCGACAAAGAACCCTAAACCCCAAAACCCCTTAACCCCTTCAAAGCCTAAGCAAACATCCTCCACCCTAAACCCTAAACCCTAAACCCAAAGCCCAAAACCCAAAACCCTAAACCCTAAACCCTTCAAAGCCTTTGCACAAATCCTCTAGCCCCCGAGGTCCACACTCAGGACTTCGGCCGTCGGGCGCGGTGCAGCCGGTCCGGTAGCCCGCCTCGCCCAGGGTTTAGGGTTTAGGGTTTAGGGTTTTGGGGTTTGGGGTTTGGGTTTAGGGTCTTGGGTTTTGGGGTTTGGGTTTAGGGTCTTGGGGTTTGGGTTCTGGGTTTAGGGTTTAGGGTTTAGGGTTTTTGCTGCCAGGTTTCAATAGTTTTTGTTTTTTGATAGGTTTTTTGATGGTCTCAAAAGGTATAGGCATGGGCGTTGGGTTTTGGGCTTCCATTTCTATAGTCTAGAGGTATTTATATCTCTGGGACCTCTTTAGGAGTTTGCAGGGCTTCTGTGTGCGTGTAAAGAGGTGGCGTCCTCACCCTAATCAGTACACAGATCATAATGAAAACCCTATATAAGCCCTAAACCCTAAACCAAAGAAAGTCGCAACAAGAATCTCGAGGCTCGCATGTTTTTACTGTAGACCCCAAAAGGCCGAATCCTTGAACCCCGAACCCCCAAACCATAAACACAAATCACGAAGCTCTAGGATCTAAACCTCTGAACCGCAAACCCCCAAACCGTTGCCTCATGGTAGCTTTGAAGCACCCAAAGAGTCCTTGTAGATCCCTCCAAGGAGCCCGAAACCCTAAACCCTCACAACCCTAAACCCTCAACCCTCAACCCTCGATCCTAAACCCTAAACCCTCAACCCTCGATCCTAAACCCTAAACCCTAAACCCTAAGAACCGTAAACCGGGTCGGCAAAGGGCGGCGCGCCTTTTCTGCGAGCCGGTCCAAAGTCGCTGCCCGCGGGGAAGTGATGGACTTGCCGTCGGGGAAGACCACCTGCCGGGTTGAGGGTTTAGGGTTTAGTGCCTAGGGCTTAGGGTTTGGTGTTTAGGCTTTAGGGTTTGGGGTTTAGGGTCTAGGGTTTGGGGTTTCGGGCCGCAAGCTTTGGGGTTTGGGGCTAGGGGCTTATATAAAATGCTATGAGATTAGCCTGTAAATTATTTATATATATATATATATATATATATATACGTACATACATACATACATACATACATACATACATACATACATACAGAAATACGTACACACGAACTTAATACATTATAAGTTCTAGGATGTTGCGTCCGTCTAATATAATGGCCTTAATAATTGGAATTGGGTTTTGGTGTATATTGTACTATCACTAACCAAGTCTAGAATAGGGACCCCGAAATAGTGTTGGCAATCAATTTAGGCCCCTATATTACTTAGCTGTCGATTGATAGTGGCAACGACTGATACCTCTCTACGTGCGAGAAGAGTCCAAGCAACAACTGAGAAAAGCAACACTACAAGTACCACCCCGACGACGACTACCACTACTCTACTACTCTGACTTTGTGTCTTTTGTTTAGTCCCGCAGGCCTTGATGTACCCTTTGCGCGGGCGGGACAGAGTCAACCGCACTTCGTCCCCGGAGTTCATCACGAGCTCAGTCGCCTTTTCCTGGGAAGCAGCAGCGGGCCAAAATTGAAGGTTTAGGCTTGACCTGTAAACCAAAAGGCCGAGAACGATACTGGATCCTTACCATTAGTATTATGGAACCCCTATCGAATTCTTTCATGGGTCTTTTGGGCTGCAGGGAGTTTAGGGATTCTCGCCTTGAAGCCGTCCAAAGGCTCCCCATTCACCGCCTCAAGCTCGTCGCCCTCCTCAAGATGAGCGTGCTATGGCGTGTAGGGTCTAGGGGTTTGGGCTTGAGGGGATTGGGGGTCAGGATCCTCATCAGGAGTCCCTTATTTTCGACAACTCCGGTAAATGCATGCTAGACTGATAGCCACAACAACAACATCAACAAAAGCAGCAGCAGGAGGAGGAGGACGACGAAGAGTCGTATTAGAGCAGCAGCAGTAGTAGTAGAAGAAGAAGAGCAAGCTGGATGACCGTGACACGGAGTAGCTGCTGGCAGTCTGTTCCAGATTAGGGTTTGCGGACAGAAGTCGCAACAAGTGAAATTGTCTCGTGTCTGTCATGGAGATGAAATCTGCACAAGACCCCTAAGTATTGATCTTAGATAATTAGATGTTTTTGTGCAAGAGACTCCAACATCACTCGAACCTTTAGAGAGCTTAAGTGCGATATCACAGGCATCCGTGAACACGCGATCGGGGACATCCTTTCCACCTGCGAGTGCTTGGATTCCGGGTGCTATGGCAATCCCGTTCCCAGCTCTGTTGAACCGTCGTCAGTTTTCTTGAATGTGGGTAGTTTTCTAAATTAGGGTCCCTTCTTAGGTCCCCAATATAGTACGGCACCCTTATGCAAAGGACCCTAAAAGGGAACTTATTTTAGAGAACTGCCCATGTGGCTCCGACAAGAAGGTCAGAAGAACTGAAGACCTCCCGTGAACTTCACGCCAACGAAGAAGCTGCAGTGCAACTTCTGGGGCATCTATTCCCGGTGGCAAGGCCTAAAGCCTAAACCCTAAAGCGCAACATGCAAAGACATCAATTCCTCGGAACCGCACAGAGGCATGCTTACAGCTTGGCTTGTGACTCTAATTCCATCTTCTTCTGGTCATGAACCTGACTGCACATCACTTGGGGTTTAGGGCCGTCCAGAGCGAATTCCCCTCTTCATGGCTTCTCCATCATAAACCCTAAACCCTAAACCCTAAACCCTAAACCCTAAACCCTAAACCCTAAACCCTAAACCCTAAACGTCTGCCCGCATTAAACTTGACAAGCAACTGTCTCTCTTTTCACGACTACTCCATCCCCCCGAATCCCGCAACAAGCCCGGGAAGACGTCTTGAAGACGTTAGAAGTACCATAATTGGGGTTATAAGTAGTTATAAGTATAGTTATCCTGATAATAACCTTAGTTACTAAGTCCCATGATCCCTGAATCCAGGCAGCTTGTGAAGGTCTGCCTCCCCGCCTCGCCGGCAGGGGGCCTTCTGGGTGGATTCCACCCTCACACGTCTGACTTTCCGAGACGTGGCCTTTGAAGCTCTAGCTATATAAGGGGTATATAAGGACTAGACAATGGTTATTTAAGGTAATGGGATTAAGGGTCCCTATTAAGGGTCCCCCTTAAAGCCCTTGGATTTGAAGCTCTACTAGGGTAAGCCCTATAGACACCTCGAAGCCTGCACCAAAAACAGCGAGGTGTCTCCTGGATCCACATGGAGTCTTTGCCCTCGAAGAGCACTTCCTGGAGGAGCTTATGCCTCAGGCCCAGACGGATTGGGATCCATGAGAATCGTGGACGAGCCTGCATGCCCCTAGGCTACACAGGCAATCTGAATTGGATCAGGGTACGCGCTGCCAGTCTCCAGGACGTCTGCAACACCAACTCCGAATCCTGCACACGATGAATCCGGTCGGGGCGGGCTGCGGCTATGAGGCACCTGGGGATCATGGGATCGAGGCATGAAACAACGCCAAGGACAGGGAGAGAGCTGCTCTTTCTCCTGGCCCTTGGGGTCCATCTTCCAAGACAATGCCCATGGGCTTCTTCAGTACTACCTCAGTTTGGCATGCTCGGGAAAGCAGCAGGTTCTACGAAGTGTCCGTGCCTCGTAAGCAATTTTCAAGCTGCCGATCATCTCAGCGTTAGAAGGCAGCTCACGAATGGTTCCCTGGATCAGGAATGCGCTCTGGGCGCTCCACATTCAAGGCTTCATGCTGCCCAGCCTTCCCCATTCGGGGTCGAAGAAATCTCTGCATTCGCTCTACGGGGCTTCTCTCCTGCCAGAGCACACAGATCCAAAAACCCCCAAACTCCCTTATGTAGGGGAGCCTTTAGAGAACCCATACTAAGGCCAAGCAAAGACCAAACCCTACACCCTAAACCCGAAACCCTCTCCCCTACAACGCAAACGCAAAGGAAAAAGGCTCCTTGGCAGCGTGCCTCACCACAGAGGGCGCCAGATCCTGGCGTTGGTACGCCTGCAATCGTCTGCTCGCTCATTTAGGTTGGGGTCTAGTTCGGCTTAGGATTTTGGTCTTTTATGGTTTTCGGTTTTAGCGATTTGGAATCTTCCCCTCGGCTCTCTTGCTCTTGCCCTCCCACTCTCGCTCTGTCCGTCTCTCTGTCTTTCTGCCGGGCATTGGGGTCGCCTGCGACCCGCAGGCTCTTAGCCCGCCCGACCACCAATCTGCTTAGTTAGCGTCTTTCTCTTTTTCTCCTTCCTGCTCTCTCTCTCCCTCTCTCTCCCCCTCTTTCTTTCGTCAGGGCTAGGGGCAAAGGGAGCTCTCACCCCCTCCCTCTCTCTCTCTCTCTCTCTCTCTTCATAGGCAGCACGGTTTAGGGTTTAGGGTTTAGGGTTTAGGATTGCTGCGGCAGAGCCTTCGCTATCCTTGGGAAGACGAAGGCTGAACTGCCATAGCCCAAGGCAAGCGCAGCCAGAAGGAAGGCAGATCTCCTGCCAAGATCGACTTTTCGATGCGGCTTGCGGATTTTCGGACGTGGGAATGTAAGCTTTTGGATTGCTTCTATGTTTGAGAGTGCTTCCGACCTCTTCCGTTCAGAGTTGAGGGTTTGGGGTCCGAGGAATTTCAGGGCCTACACGAGATTAGACTGACATCTCGTACAGGAGCCCGGAATCAAGACCTCCGTCCTGCCCGTCCGCTGATGAAGCTCCGGTCTGAACGCCATGTCCGGAGTCTTCTCTGCCGCCACGCGGTTGAAAAAGCTAACCCTGCAGCATGCGAGTACTCCTGGCCAACTTGCACTAGCCAGCTGTTCCGAATCTAGCCGTTCCCAGCGCCATGAAGTCGTGATAAGGAACATGACGCAATCTCAGATCAGCCCATGGAATTGAGTGAAAGCCAGCACCTCCCTTGTCCTGACTCCTGACTTTTGAAAGCCTTGACCATGAACGTGTACATCGTTCTTGAGATGGGGCCAAGAAACGGATGTTGGCTGAAAGCACAGAAAAAGAAATGGAACGACGGTCACACAGACAATCGTGCCATGCTTGGGGACCGCCGCAAGCTTGAAAACCGTCAGTTGCTCCATTTCATGGGCATGCTTGCTCTAGCAGGCCAAACGAACGGAACTTTACAGTGTTGCAGGAAGCTTCGCTGTCTGGCAACATCGCGTGCCGCGAACTTCGGGTTGAGGCCTCAAGGTTCGTGGTCGGTGATCGTTCATTTGTTTCGAATTTCACCACGCCATGAGAAGCCTTCCACCGACTGGGCATGATGTTGAGAGACACACACATGGGATTGAAGATCACGGTTAGGTTTATCGGCGATCATAGCATCATTCATGATCATGCCTATGGTCTACCATGCCGATCTGTGTGCTTCGGATGACCAACTTCGACCTAAGGCGACCGGGCGCCTAAAGCTTCGTTGATCTTTTTCTGTCAGGCTGGATGTGGCTCGAGTTGATGGCCACCCGCATCGCCGGCGGCAGCATCAGCAGCGGCAGCTGCAGGAGAATCAACACCATCATGATCACGATCGCCGACATAATGTTCGTCGTCATCGTCAGGATCGTCCACTTCTCTCTGAACCTTCATCATCAACATGATGCTGCTGATGATGATGATTATCATCATCATCATCATCACAATCTTCATGGTGGTGATGATGACGGTGATGATGATGATGATGATGATGGTGAAGATGGTGAAGATGATGGTGGTGATGATGCTGATCATCATCCGGATGATCATGATGATCATGATGATCATGATGATCATGATCATCACCAGCAGTATAACAACAGCATGACAATTAAAATGAAAAAATGCCGAGATAGATGATGATCATTGTGGCTCCATCTTGAGTGCATCGCCCCTGTGACCTATTCATCCTGCGAATCGACCGGTCGTCGGGTCAACGGTACCGCTGCGGTGGTGATCATCGCGCATCCAGCATCAACAGGCCAGGAGTTAAGCTTCATGAATGCAGTTCCAAATCCGAATGTTACACTGGCCTGGGTTGCAGACCAAGTCTTTTTCCGCGTTCTGGAGCAAGCAACCAGAAGGTGAGTAAAGCTAACCGAATGTGGGGCCACTTGCTTGATGGCCCGCCCAAACGGAAAGTTCCCTAGATTGGGGTCCCTTTTGATGTCCGGATTACAAAGAGTGTCCTCCCTCCTCTTCTGGGCATCCCAACCCTCAACCCTAAACTTTACGCCCTAAATCCTAAACCCTGTAGTACAAGGGCCCCCAAACGTAGACAACCCACTGCTCGAGGCAACAAGGCCTCGAGCCTAAGACATTCAAGCTCCAGGGGTTTAGGGTTTAGGGTTTAGGGGATTGAAATTTAGGGTGGATTTGCGAAGTCTCAGAAAAACTCCTGACATCGACCAGAAGTTCCTGTAGAGAGGCAGCGTAGTGGCTCTGAGATTCTCAGAGTCATCCCGCCGGGCCGGGAAAAATCCGTGCAACGCAAGGGGCTCCGGGCTTGGGGGTTAGAGGGTTCAGGGTCGGAACTCAGGCTTTCGGCTCGAGGCTTTGGGGTTTAGGGTTTAGGGTTTAGGGTTTAGGGTTTAGGGTTTAGGGTTTAGGGTTTAGGGTTCAGGGCCTAGAGGCCTAAGGTTGGGCTTTCGGGTTAGGGGGGAGATGCGGGCTGCAGCTTGGCTCTCTGGGGAAATCCTGATGCCATCACCGTCATCGCAGGGGCGGAGCCTCGGAGCAAAAGGACGTGAGAGGGTGCCCTCAGATGATGATACGATGGGGGGGCTGAAATTATTAGAGTAGGGTTTTGGGCTGTGTACACAAATATATGCATAGATATATAATTCCGCAAAGGAGCAAAAACACCTTGGAAAGGAGGCTGTGGATGGGACTGCCCTACAGAAAGCCCAAATCCAAAGGAGGGGGCCCGGAAGGGGGGACAATACATATGTATTTCAAGTCAAGCAGAATAGATGAGACATCGGGAGCACCATGTCCTGAGCGATCTTTACCTTTTCGTGCTGCGCACTGCGCCGTTCTGTACCAGTGCATCGGGTCTGCTCCAAACTACTGTCCGTCGAGGGGTTTAGGGTTTGGGTTCAGGGTTTAGGGTTTAGGGATACCCAAACCAATGCATGCTTCGCCATGCAGTGTTACAGATATGCGACGGGCCGCAATTGAGAACAGCCCTCGGAAACCGCACAAAAGGAGAGCACTTCGTGCCTCTCCCGATCATCTCCGGTCCCTTTGGGGCTCAGAGAGTTGATAAAAGCTGGGCAGGAACCTTGCTTTCAAGGCTTGCCCTAACTAGCATGGAGGGCTGTTCCAGCTTATGGTTCTCTTGGGAGGCTCTCTTCGAAGCAACCGGATCATCAAGACAGTTCATATGATACACGGGTTTAGGATTTAGGGTTTAGGATTTGGGGCTTAGGGTTTAATATGGCTCTAGATTCTCCGGAACAACCCCCGGTCCTCAGGACCCTCACTCTGGCCCGACATCCGCGCGCCTCGGCGACCGGCGTCGCCAGAAGCAAAAACCAAACACTGCGATCACAACACAAACCGCCGCACTCACAGCAACGGCGATGATCACGATGTTGCCGGTGTCCAGTGCTCGGGCTGAGCAACTGCATGCGGAGCCTGTAGGGCTGATTGTCTCAAAGGCCATGGACCCTCGATCCTCGTGGTCAAGGCGGTGGCAGTGCAGCATCATCTCACCTGCGATGAAGGTCGTTTTGTATCGGACCGTGACAGGCTCCCTCGTTAGACCGTCCGACATGAACGTGTCGTGCCAGTCCCCCAAATGGAAGAAGTCTTCACTTCTGAACCCGTCCACGAGCTGGAAGGGATAGAAATGCTGGTGGTAGGGATGCCCGCCAGTGTCGATCTTCCGCTCAACAACGGCGCCGAGGAAGGTTTCATGGAGCACCGTGTCCTCCGAGAAAGGAACGCCGTTGATTGAGGCTTCTTCGACCTCCGTTTCGCAGCTGCAGCCCTCGCTTGCTGGAGTGGTCTGAAGGTCTTGCATATAGTCCGGCAGCACTGGCGACCAGGAAGACAGCTCGGAGCTGCTCACCGGAACCGCAGAAGTGTCCACAAAACCGATCAGCGTTTCACCACTGGTCACCCTGTACCTGGAAGACGGCGACGGACATTTCACCATGACATCCGCTCGGCCGCCTGCAGGGATGGGCGCCAGCTGAATCGAGCGCGGGAAATCGCTGATGTACATGCCGTCCTGGCACCAAGATACGTGGCATTCAACGAGAGAAAATGGGGCTTGGCTACGGAAGGCGCAGGGGCTCCGAGAAGTCTTGATCTTCGGATCTTCAAGCTTTCGGTGCTCTCTTGCCAGGATCTCAAAAAGGGCTCGGGGTTGCTATAACAGTTGCCCTTGGATGCCTCCCTCACCTGGGGAATGGGATAGAATTTCAGAAGGGATGAGAGTCATCAGTGTCGCGCGATGCGCTGTGACGGCCCAAACCAACAAACAAGACAGTTCAATTCAAAAAGGACACCACCACATGTCGAGCAGGCAAAGCATGCAGTGCACCCTTCATCTCGTCCTTTGCCAACAGCTGCATGGTGCAGCCATCCACGGCAAAGTTCAGCGCACTTCTGCCCACATTTCTCCAGCCGGCGAAGATGACCCGCCACCTCTGCCACCGGCCTGGTGTCGCTGCGATCTCAGGCATATGCTCGCCATTGATAAGCAGGAGATCGGGGGGGTTGCCTGCTGGAGCAGACCAAACAAGACTGTCCCCCGACTGCTGGGCAATTCCTTGGCTCTTGTTCAGGACACTCAGTTAAAGGAAACTACAGGTGAGAAGTTTAGGGTATATAGGGCTTCTATAAGGCTTTTATAAAGTATATAGACCTTCTATAAGGCTCCTATAACGGTAACTACCCACCTGAAAAAGTCCTAGACTCAGTTCAGCTTTACACGGGATCACAGTAAGGAAAGCACCTTGCACTTTATGCCTGATTCCTTGAAGCCTTCTCTTTCGTCTCTGGTTTAGGGTTTAGGGTTTAGGGTTTACTCTATCCTACACCATCGTCACTACTGTTAGAATTGGCAGCGTGCAACATGTGGAAATCGCCATGACCGACTAAACCAAACCTCTTCAGCAGTCGTCATGGTCACGCTTACCATGGTAAATCAATCTAAATCCGCTTGTTATCCAAGACCATTTCTTTCAACATCATTCATTCTATCGTTCTTGTTATGGTAGAAGACAACACTCTCTGGCATTATGGAGGCTGTTGCTAAGGTAAACTAAAGTAGCCAAACCAACCAAACTAACTAAACTAGGCAAAAGAGCTAAGACAAGCTAAAAACTTATTGAAGCAAATACAGTTACTAACTAAACTAAATAAACAAACTAAAACAAACTAACCCAACTAAACCAACTAAACCATACTGAACTACCTGAACTGCACCTCCCTCAACCCTAAACCCTAAACTCCAAACCCTAAACCAAGTGCCCAGGTTCGGCTCAGCTCCTGCAGCGCCAGGTCCTGCACCACAAGGAGGACTTCCTCGGCGTTCGCCACCTGCAGAATTAGCAAAGTGAACTTCTTTAATATAGGAGCCTTCATAATTAGAATAGGATTTTGGTGCCCCTTATAGGTTAGTTCGGCGAAGTTAGGGTTAAGGCCTTAGGGCTTAGAGTCCTTCTTAGGGTCCTTTTGAAAATTGGTGTCGTAGTATTCTCGTGACCTAAATAGGGACCCTAATGCAGAGAACTACCCACCTGACATTTCACGGGCATTTCCTGGCTTCTCAGACGCGCGGGGATGGGGTACGTGACGTCTTCGCAGTACAGAAAACATATAAACAACGACATGAAAGCGTACAACTAAATATACTACCAAAACCTGCCGGCAAGAGACTCTAACACTAAATATAAGATGCTCAAAAGCCGACACACGATGGTTGGAAGGAGTGGGAAGAGCTAAGGGGCACCGGGCAAGTGGCCCAGTTCGCGTAGTTGGTTCTTGCATAAGCATGGGCAACACGAGTTCTCTCTGCCTCTCTTCCCGACGACCGATGGGGGCCAAAGGGACAAGCACAGAAAAAGTGGATCGAGCTGGTGGTGCAGAGCAACAAAAGCAAGCAACAGACATGTCTTACTAGAGGCGGCTTCAGGTTTCTAAGGTTTCAGGGTCGGCTTTGGGTTTTTTGGGTTTCGTGGCAGTTCTCACTAAGGAAAACCCTAAACCCCTAAACCCCTAAACCCCTAAACCCCTAAACCCCTAGACCCCTAAACCCCTAAACCTCAAAACACGGTACATCGCCTCCTCCGGCAGGCTGCCGGGCGCATCATCCACAATCAGCGCCAGTGCGGCGGCACCACCAACTTGCAAGGCGGAGGAACCGTGGCGATGCGGATGGATCCAGTTGGTACCGGGCATGTGGTACTCAGGCAGAACCGTTTCGTACTGAAACTCTCCGCCAGGTCCTACAACAAGCTTTGTGTCATCTGAGGGTAGATCCCCCGGGACATGCAGGCCGTGAAAGTGCAAGTTGGACTCATCCACATACCCAAACCTGGGTTGTAGTTTGGGGGCCCTGAAAAGTGTTTATGAATAGGTACCTCTATAGAAACCATAAAGGAAATTGTTCCCAAATTGCCACCTAGAAACTCATTGTGCTGCCTCCTTGCATTCGGCTGGGCCGGAAGGAGGTTCTGGAAGCGGATCCGTAGGCGATCTCCCGGCTTTATGCGGAGGGTCGGCCCAGGGAGGGTTCCATTCAACGTGAAGATCCCCAGGTCCATCGAGTCGATCACCACCGAGGCAGCCTCCAGAGTTAGGACCACGTCCAGCAGACCGCCCGAAGAGCTCACGCTGCTTGGCACCCTCATTGCGATAGAGAAAAGTCTAGAAGGAAGGAGAGGAGGAAGGAAGGCAGCTACGAGTCCGCTTCGGGCCACCTTGAGCCCAGACCTCATGAAGACGTCATGTCATGTCCTAACAGCTCCAGACCCCCAATTGAATTTTAAAAACCCGAAGCTTCAAGAAGCTTCGCACCAAAACAGAAGACTCTGAGCAGAGACTCACGTCTTTTATTTGGGGCCTCTTTGGGGCACTTCCGTTCGGTAGCTCCGCGGAGTGAGCGTCTCAGGGGCCTCAAGGACCCCCAAAAAACCCTAAACCCAGGCACTCGGGCGACGACTCACCGAGGCGACTTCACCGCGGCGGGGAGCTTTTGGGCCTAGGTTGAGGCTTCAAGGCTTCAAGGCTTCGAGGCTTCAGGGATATCTTTTGTATAAGGGCCTTTTCTGTCACTTGCGCTCCAAAGGGTTGAGGGTTTAGGGTTTAGGGCTTAGGGCTTAGGGCTTTGGGTTTGGAGTTTCGGGTTTAGGGTTTAGGGTTTAGGGGCTTAGGGTTTGGGGCTTTCACAGAAGAGCTGTACTGTACTCAGGACACTCTACGCATTCGCTTCCGGGCTTTAGGGCTAGCAGGTTTTAGGCTTCCGGGGGTTTTAAAGTTTTGGGGTCCCGGGAGTCCCTACACCCTAAATCCTAAACCCTAAACCCTGTGAGGCGTTCGGTTTCAAGGACTGGTTAAGTTGGCACAGGGCTTGCTATAGGTTTGGCCACTCCAATCCCAGAGTGGGACGTCTCCAACTAGATACTATACTGCTGTATATAGTACTGTAAGGGTTGCTACAATACTATCAGGTTGCTCTGCTATACTGCGATAAAGGTTGCTGCAATGCTGTAATACTGTACTGACCCGTTTCTACGGTGACATGGCAGGAGGCCCGACTCAACTCTCGTTCGCAATAATTAGTTGGGTTCAGTGTTCAAGGCCTGGCACATACTTGCAGGAAACCCGCCCTCACGATCACCCCTGGCCTAAAGGAAGCCCTAATGCAGAGCCACCTGAACCCTAAAGTGGCGATATCCCTAAAGCAGCCCTGAAGGCGTTCCTGGGGTGCGCGCTTGATGACGGCGATGACCTGCCCACCATCGCAGAGGCCTCAGAGCCAGCGCAAGGGTCTCGTCTTTAAGGGGTTTCGGGTTTGGGGCTAAGGGCTAAGGGGCTAAGGGGCTAAGGCTTCGGGTTTGAGGGTTTAGGGTTAAGGGTTAAGGGTTAAAGTTTAAGGGTTCTAGTAGGCTTTAGGGTGTTGCCGGTGAGCAGGAAAGCACGCCCGAGGTGGATCGAGCCGAAGGGTTTGGAAAGAAAAACAGACGGGAGTTTCAGAAGATTATAGAATCCTAACAAAAACAATCCTTTACGGTTTAGTTTTCGGAACTCCCACATTGACATGAAGCAGACTGTTGTTGCAGCCAGGATACCCATCTGCTCGAGCGTCTCAGAGCTGTCGCTGAGGAACTTACCCTTCATGGCAAACACCTCGCCAGAGGTTCCGACCGGGCTTATACCTTACCCAAACACCTAAACCCTGCAAACCCCCACATTCCCAAAAACCACAATGTAGATTAAGAAACTCTGGGCCTTTATTGGGGTTCTTAATATGAACCCTAATATATTGGGGTTATGGGGCCAGGTTGCGGCTGATGATAGAACTCCTACATTTACCCACAAGAAGGAATATACCATAATTCCCATAGTTTTTTGGGTCCTGAAGGTAATTCCCACAAGAAGGAATATACAATAATTCCCATAGTTTTTTGGGTCCTGAAGGTAATGCAGGATTTAGATCATCAACAGTATCGACCCTCCAGCCCAACAAGAACAAAACCCAAACCGTGCCATCGCTCTGGGCAACCGGCGCAGACAGAGTTCCCATCTGAGAAGCCTGACGGCGCCTTGGACAGGACCTGGCAAAATAACGAAACGCAAATACTGGGGCTTAGGGGTTTGGGGATCCTTCTGTACTAAGGATTCCTCTTACCATGTGGGGCCTAGAGTTTGGGCTTAGGGTTGAAAGTGTAGGGTTTGGGATTTCGGTGTTCGAGTATACTAGGGGTGCCTCACATTACTAGGATCCTACGGCGTATCTGACGTGCCTTAGAGCTTGGGATTGGGTGGCAGGTTTGGAGTTTAGGGTTTGGGGTTTAGGTTGTTTTGGCTAGGGTTTGCAGTTTCTGGTGGGCGTTTACTTGGGGTGTACGGCGTGGGGCCTACGGGCTGGGGTTCAGGGTTTAGATACATCCTCCATTCTGTCTAGCTTCAATCAAAACGTATCTAAGCAGGAATGTCCGGATGCATGCAGGAATGCTTGCGTGAATATCTTCTACAGCAGATCGATCAGCAGCTAGACGGACCCGCAGATGGCCAGCATCGTGGACAGGATGGTAGGTGGGCCTGTGGGCCCCCGGTCGTTATACATCTTTTGACAAGTTCAGCGGCTCATGTCTTTAGGACCTACACTAGACCTTCTTATCCTAAACCCTAAACCCTTAACCCTTGTAGCGCCCTAAACGAACCCTTCACATGCCTCCTTTTTGAACCGCTCTTGCACCGTGAGCCATCAGAGTCTCGCTCGGGGGACCTTCGACGGGTGCCTCTTTGGGCAGCGTGGGTCTGGTGATTCGGGCTTTTAGTTTAAGGTGTAGGGTTTAGGGCTTAGGGTTTGGGGGTTTTCTAGGGTTTATAGGATTTCCGGTTTAGGATTTGAGGTTCATGGTAACCCTCAGGACAACTCTGAAGCCCCAAAGGAGACTCTAATTTGTCAGGTACCCCCAGCCCCAGAATTGCATCCTTGAAACACATAAGTCTCCCTAGAACCCCCCCAGAACCCCCTTAGAGAACCCTCATGAAACCCTAAACCCCTAA